GCTCTGAAATTGAGGCAACAATTAATAGCCTACCAACCAAAAAAAGTCCAGGACCAGATGGATTCACAGCTGAATTCTACCAGAGGTACAAGGAGGAGTTGGTACCATTCCTTCTGAAACTATTCCAATCAATAGAAAAAGAGGGAATCCTCCCTAACTCATTTTATGAGGCCAACATCATCCTGATACCAAAGCCTGGCAGAGACACAACAAAAAAAGAGAATTTTAGACCAATATCCCTGATGAACATCGATGCAAAAATCCTCAATAAAATGCTGGCAAACCGGATTCAGCAACACATCAAAAAGCTTATCCACCATGATCAAGTGGGCTTCATCCCTGGGATGCAAGGCTGGTTCAACATTCGCAAATCAATAAACATAATCCAGCATATAAACAGAACCAAAGACAAGAACCACATGATTATCTCAATAGATGCAGAAAAGGCTTTTGACAAAATTCAACAGCCCTTCATGCTAAAAACGCTCAATAAATTCGGTATTGATGGAACGTACCTCAAAATAATAAGAGCTATTTATGACAAACCCACAGCCAATATCATACTGAATGGGCAAAAACTGGAAAAATTCCCTTTGAAAACTGGCACAAGACAGGGATGCCCTCTCTCACCACTCCTATTCAACATAGTGTTGGAAGTTCTGGCTAGGGCAATTAGGCAAGAGAAAGAAATCAAGGGTATTCAGTTAGGAAAAGAAGAAGTCAAATTGTCCCTCTTTGCAGATGACATGATTGTATATTTAGAAAACCCCATTGTCTCAGCCCAAAATCTCCTTAAGCTGATAAGCAACTTCAGAAAAGTCTCAGGATACAAAATTAATGTGCAAAAATCACAAGCATTTTTATACACCAGTAACAGACAAACACAGAGCCAAATCATGAATGAACTTCCATTCACAATTGCTTCAAAGAGAATAAAATACCTAGGAATCCAACTTACAAGGGATGTAAAGGACCTCTTCAAGGAGAACTACAAACCACTGCTCAGTGAAATAAAAGAGGACACAAACAAATGGAAGAACATACCATGCTCATGGATAGGAAGAATCAATATCGTGAAAATGGCCATACTGCCCAAGGTAATTTATAGATTCAATGCCATCCCCATCAAGCTACCAATGAGTTTCTTCACAGAATTGGAAAAAACTGCTTTAAAGTTCATATGGAACCAAAAAAGAGACATCTCCAAGACAATCCTAAGTCAAAAGAACAAAGCTGGAGGCATCACGCTACCTGACTTCAAACTATACTACAAGGCTACAGTAACCAAAACAGCATGGTACTGGTACCAAAACAGAGATATAGACCAATGGAACAGAACAGAGTCCTCAGAAATAATACCACACATCTACAGCCATCTGATCTTTGACAAACCTGAGAGAAACAAGAAATGGGGAAAGGATTCCCTATTTAATAAATGGTGCTGGGAAAATTGGCTAGCCATAAGTAGAAAGCTGAAACTGGATCCTTTCCTTACTCCTTATACGAAAATTAATTCAAGATGGATTAGAGACTTAAATGTTAGACCTAATACCATAAAAATCCTAGAGGAAAACCTAGGTAGTACCATTCAGGACATAGGCATGGGAAAAGACTTCATGTCTAAAACACCAAAAGCAACGGCAGCAAAAGCCAAAATTGACAAATGGGATCTAATTAAACTAAAGAGCTTCTGCACAGCAAAAGAAACTACCATCAGAGTGAACAGGCAACCTACAGAATGGGAGAAAATTTTTGCAATCTACTCATCTGGGGCTAATATCCAGAACCTACAAAGAACTCAAACAAATTTACAAGAAAAAAACAAACAACCCCATCAAAAAGTGGGCAAAGGATATGAACAGACATTTCTCAAAAGAAGACATTCATACAGCCAACAGACACATGAAAAAATGCTCATCATCACTGGCCATCAGAGAAATGCAAATCAAAACCACAATGAGATACCATCTCACACCAGTTAGAATGGCGATCATTAAAAAGTCAGGAAACAACAGGTGCTGGAGAGGATGTGGAGAAATAGGAACACTTTTACACTGTTGGTGGGATTGTAAACTAGTTCAACCATTATGGAAAACAGTATGGCGATTCCTCAAGGATCTAGAACTAGATGTACCATATGACCCAGCCATCCCATTACTGGGTATATACCCAAAGGATTATAAATTATGCTGCTCTAAAGACACATGCACACGTATGTTTATTGCGGCACTATTCACAATAGCAAAGACTTGGAATCAACCCAAATGTCCATCAGTGACAGACTGGATTAAGAGAATGTGGCACATATACACCATGGAATACTATGCAGCCATAAAAAAGGATGAGTTTGTGTCCTTTGTAGGGACATGGATGCAGCTGGAAACCATCATTCTTAGCAAACTATCGCAAGAACAGAAAACCAAACACCGCACGTTCTCACTCATAGGTGGGAACTGAACAATGAGATCACTTGGACTCGGGAAGGGGAACATCACACACCGGGACCTATCATGGGGAGGGGGAAGGGGGGAGGGATTGCATTGGGAGTTATACCTGATGTAAATGACGAGTTGATGGGTGCTGACGAGTTGATGGGTGCAGCACACCAACATGGCACAAGTATACATATGTAACAAACCTGCACGTTATGCACATGTACCCTAGAACTTAAAGTATAATAATAATAAATAAATTTTTAAAAAAGAATTAAAAAAAAAAAGCACAAGAGAAACTTACATGTAAGTGCATATACGTATATAAATGCATAGAAAATAGTTTAAAAGTCAATTAACCTGATTATAGAGATTACCTTCGGAAGGTGATTTGGGATATCTTTGTCTTTAGTTTTTGCATTTTTATACTGAGAATGTTTTCATTCATTATATAGTTAAATATACAATTAATATACATTTAAAAATTTGTATGTACTTAACTATATGTATACATATATATACACACGCACATATATATATACACATAGTCGGCCTTCTGTATCCAGGGTTTCATATCCATGGATTCAACCAACCACAAATTAAAAATATTTAGACGGGAAAAAAAGAATGGTTGTATCTGTAGTGAACACATGCAGACTTATTTTCTTGTCATTATTTCCTAAACAATACAGTATAACAACTATTTACATAGCATTTACATTGTATTAGGTATTATATGTAATCTTGCAATGTAGAAATGATTTAAAGCATGTGCGGAGGTTATATGCAAATACACTATTTTATATAAGGGACTCTGAGTATTCTGGTATCTGTGGGGTTTCCTGGCACCAGTCCTCCATGGATACCAAGGAATGACTATACACATATACTGTAAACATATATGTATATTAAAAGAATGAAGAATAAAGACCAGGAAACAGTGACTGTTGGAGACTAGCTTGTGCACTACGAGTAAGATGTGTCAAATCTAGCCAGTTTCCTTCTCCTTCGGTGAGAAGGGAGATGCCAACCACACTGTGAGCTGAGCCCTGCAGGCTCAGGCAGAGCCTTTCAGATCATTAGTATGGAAACAACAGAAAAATGCAGGCTGGATGACAATGCTAGAAAGTAGAGCCAAAATTGACTGTTACTGATTCAGGGCCCATGTGGAAGCTCCTAGGGCAGTCTTTGGTCCTGTCCTGTTCAATATCTTCATTCATTCATTCGTCTGATCTCTCACTCACTCATTCACTCACTCAAAGACATTTGAGAGCTTACTGTGTGTCAGATGTTGTGCATTGCCGGGCATGGTGACTCACATCTGTAATCCGAGCACTTTGGAAGACCGAGGTGGGTGGATCACTTGAAGTCAGGAGTTCAAGACCAGCCTGGCCAACATGGTGAAACCCCGTCTCTACTAAATACAAAAAATTGGCTGGGCACGGTGGTGGGCACTTGTAATCCCAGCTACTCAGGAGGCCAAGGCAGGAGAATCGCTTTAACCCAGGAGGCAGAGGTTACAGTGAGCCAAGATCGTGCCATTGCGCTCCAGCTTGGGCGACAAAAGCGAGACTCCGTCTCAAAACAAAACAAAACAAAACAAAACCAAGATATAAAGATGATCTCTGCTTTAAGCCTAGGATACTGAAAATTAGACAGAAGGGGGAAACAAAAACAGTGTGAAAAATGCTCAGACTGAAGTGCTATGGGAGCTTCAGAGGGAAGAGCCTGATCATACCCTGGCCTCTTGATGGAGGTCACTATTTATACCTCTATTTATATTTCATGAGGTCTGTATGCTGCATGAAAGAGATCATAAAGCTAGGAAGTACCACGAATTCCAAAAACCACATATATGTGAGGTGGAAAGATTCACAAGCTAAACATACCAGTGCAATCCATTTTCAGTCACTAAAAAGTTCCACCCTTAGGTTGCAAGAGAATACGCTTCAGTTCTGAGGCCTCACTGAAAGAACACTGTCAAAGAGCAAAGTGTCAGGATAGGAAGGAATGGGCCCAATGTGAGATGAAGGCCAGATAAAGGTATACCCAGACTTTTTCAGGGCCACTCTGATCTCTCTCTCTGAGCCCTTGACTTCACTCATATTCCTCTTGTTTTCTCTCAGGGAATCACCTACAGCCAATAGACTCAGGAATTTCAAGATCTCTGATAATATGCTTGGTTGAACTATTTCAGAGAGAGCGCAACTGGAAGATCACTCCCAGCTCAGGTCCCAGCAACATGGCAGTTAGTCTGTAGCAGATTTTCAGTTTGCAAGACCTTTCTTGACTGTCCTCTCCCCACCTGGTGCTCCAAGGTTGTCCCTTCATACATAAGAGAAGAAAAACCGAGAAGCACACACATGCCAGTTTCCATGGCTGTGGATCCCAGGCAGTCATTTCACCCTTCCAGGCCTTAGTGTTTTTGTTTAATGAAGAAAGTTTATAAAGAGAGGGTAATGCTTAATACAAGTGAGCAAATGGAATCTCAGGCACCCAAGAGGACCTATCTGGGTCCCAATCCTAGTGTAGGAGGTGCTGTGGCAGGGACCCTCCATCAGGACTAACCTCTTCAGTGATGATCGAGACAGCACCTGTGCAGCCTGGTTCATGGCCCTGACCCAAGCATTCATGTCCTCCTGGGTGTCGGCACTGAAGTAGTAGGTCCTCATGCCCGACTGCTCGGCCTGAGAGCCCGCCGTGGAGCTGTTATAGATGAGCGCTCGCATCCCTGTGTGCACAGCCTGTAGCATGAAGACAGAAATGCAGGTCAGAGGGAGGTTATCACACATTTCCTTTATAGGAGCAGAAGCAAGGAGGCACTATGGCCCTTCCAGACTAAAAGTCCAAGCACCACCCAACTTGTTTCCACTCCTAGAAAACATCATAGGCTAGATTTCTCTTTCTTAGTGCAGCCAGGCCGTGATAGCTGTCTGCTCCCCACAGTAAAAGCCCTGTAGCTGTAACTGTTTCCTACTTATCTTACTCCTGCTTTGGGGGTTGGGAGTGTGCACAAAGTCAAGGCTTATGTGAGAAACAGGCTTTTCAGAAAACCCTCATTTCATAGAGGCAGACTCTTGGGAATCCCTGTTTTGTTTTTGCTGAAGCCTGAGATTCCTGCTTTGGCTATAATCAGACAAGAATTGACTCAAAACTGGCTGCAACAGCAGGTGGCTTGATGTGGATGTTCACTGTGCTTCACTGCTTAGGCATCAAGTGTGATGTGTGCTCCTGAAAGAAACTGCTGTTCTGTCTCTCGAAAAGAGGCACTACAGGATGTGAGGGCAATCTGGCTGTGACATCTGTCACCCCATTGATCACCAGGATTGATTTGGCTAATCCAGCTGGCTAAGCGGGTATCCCCTTCCTCCCTCACTGCTCCATATGCATCCCTCCTGAAGCTGCACACTCAGTCGAAGAGGAAGACCATCCACGATAGAGGAGGACTGGTCTTCGGTCAAGGGTATACAAGTAGCTGCAGTCCCCTGCTAGAACCTCCAAACAAGCTCTCAAAAGAGAGGCATTACAGAGGTGGACAGAGATGACCAACAGTTAACTAAATATTCTTGCAAACCTACTCTGTCCTTCTGCCTCAAGGTGCTTTCACATGTATCCTTGCAAACAAACAAACAAACAAAAATCTCGAAAATAGGTACTCAGAACGACCACTGAAAAATGACTGGGAAGATTTGCAAATCAGAGACAATACCAGTTTTTCCCCTTGTGCTCTGATAAACCAGAGAGCCATCTTTTAAGTTTGCAAGGAACAATCTCACCAAATCTACATAAGAAGATGATGTGAAAAGAGGAAGATTTCCTGAGTACCTACTGTGTGTGTCCTAGGTACTTCCACAATTTAATATCATTGTAACTCTTAACAGCCTTGAGAGGTGGAGACAGAATCTCTGTTTTACAGATGTAGCAAATGAACCTCTGAGATGTTAAGTAACTTTCCAGATTTCCACACCTGGTAACAGATTCTTCACAGCACTTACCGTTACCTGATGCTATTTATTTTACACACTTAGTACCTGCTTATCATCTGTCTCCTTCCTCTATAAATATAAGCTACATGAGAGTAGAAACTTTGCTATTTTGTTCACTACTATATCCCCTGGAACAGTGCCTGACACATAGTAGATGCTCAATAAACATTTGTTGAAAGAACGAAGCGTTAGAACCCAGGTCTGACTCCAAGTCTAGGCTTCTCTGTATATTGCTCCCAGGTACTATCCAGAAGTGAGGGTGATTACACAGATAACTGGTTCGATACTCTGAATCCAGCATGAAAGGCAGACCCCATGCAAGGACCAGGCAGAGAAAACAAAATGAGAACGAATGAAAAACTGGACAATGACATGCTTCTGGAATCACTAATGGTCATAGATGAAAACCTCTCAAATGAACCTTCAGCATTTACTTCTCCTCCCTGCCCTCTTAAAATCCAGATCTAAAATGCATAGTAAATATGGGCCTGCTTCTGACATTTACATATCTGAGTCCATCCAGCTCAGTGCCAAGGGAGTCTAGGCAAACTTGGCCTGCAGCCAAGGATCCCTATAGTGGCTGAAGCAAACCTGATATCCCTCCTTTGCATGTATAAGGTATTCACTATCACAGGAAGGATTCCTTCTATTTTAAGCAAGATGGAAATATGCCAATAAGAACAGAATAAGGCAGGGTGCAGTGGCTCACACCTGTAATCCCAGCACTTTGGGAAGCCAAGGCAGGTAGATTACCTGAAGTGAGGAGTTCAAGACCAGCCTGGGCAACATGTTGAAACCTCGTCTCTATTAAAAATGAAAAAAAAAATTCCTGGGCACAGTGGCGCATGCCTGTAATCTCACCTACTCGGGAGGCTGAGGCATGAAAATTGCTTGGACCCAGGAGGTGGAGGTTGCAGTGAGTTGAGATTGAGCCATTGCACTCCAGCCTGGGTGACAGAGTAAGACTCTGTCTCAAAGGAAAAAAAAAAAAAAAAAAAGAACAGAATAAGAAGGAACCTGTGCATGTCTTACTGAAAATCAGCAGAAATTCTTGGAAAATATCCGTTGGATAATGATCCCACAAGATCTCTGACACACTCTCCCAGACTTTTGTGCCCATCTATAGAGGATTCTGGGACAGGTGCCTATCCCACTACACACAAGCATGGGGAGCCCTCTAAGGTACAATAAAGACAGTAGATCCCTGCTGTACAAAAATTCACGGAGCCAGCCTTGTCCAGGAAATCAACATGGGACATGCCTCAAACATGCAGACATGGGTTTGCATGTCTATTTGCAAATGAGCCTTGAGAGTTACATCCACCATTATGAAGGAGTTACACATGATTGCAAATATAACCCTGGTCACTAATAAATGAGCAGGTGCTGTGCCCAGCTGCTGTTGACTCTGAAGAGCAGATTCCAACTGCATTCTGCCTGTGTGAGGGCATATTCGATGGATTAACTGTGAAGGCAAGAAGTACAGAGAGTTTCCTTTTAATCTGGCCAAATGACCCCAGTCCAAAGTGTCCTGAGCCTAGGACCCAGATGATGTGAATCTTCTCACTCTTGCCCTAGTGTCAACTCAGAGATGGTACTGTTTTCTCTGCTCTTTGCTTTCCAGTTAACATAATCCTATGAAGCAACTTTGCATTAACTGAATAGAAAACAAGCTATGCCTAAAGGAAATCACGATGTGAGTGAAGAATTTACTTCAAAGACATGACACCCATAGGATATGGTTGCTCTCCTGGCTCTTGGACCTCAGTTCTAGACACAGCACTGGTGAAGGAGCCAGAATCCTCATGGTTCAAGCCCCCAACATCAGCCTTTAGAATAGAGAAACCTCAGTGGAAAATACAGGAGCACCCAGGGCCCATCAACTGGCTGGCTCATTCTGGAACTTGTTCAACAATAATGAATCATTTATTGAGTATTTACTACGTGAAAGGCACCCTACCAAAGTTGGAGGGACAGCATTAAACAAGGTCATGATAGTTTATAGCCATATAGAAGAGAAATACTATGGACAAGTAACTACAGCTGTAGTAAGTGTCATCAAGGTCAGGATGCTGTGAGGAAGATAACAGGGGAGCCCAGCTTGATCCCTGAGGAACTGACATTGCAGCTGCCTTCTACATAGCAGGTAGCCATTTAAGTAATAGCAGGGAGGAGCTAGGTAGCACCCCATGAAGGACACGTGCGCACAGTGTGTTCATCTTCAACGACGAGGCCAGCATGACTGGCGCAGAGGAATGGAGGGGAAAACCGCATAAAGGGATGCTGCCGAAGTTGGCAGGGCCAGACCACCAGGGCCTTGCAGATCATGTAGGGTTTTGTCTTCATGAAAGAGCAATGAGAAACTATTAAAGGGTGTTTTGTCTTGTTTTGCTTTGTTTTGAGACAAGGTCTTGCTCTGTTGTCCAGGCTGGAGTGCAGTGGCACTATCTTGGCTCACTGCAACCTTCTCCTCCCTGGTTCAAGCAATCCTCCCACCCCAGGCTCCTGAGTATCCTGGACTACAGGAGCACACCACCATGCCCAACTAATTTTTGTATTTTATGTAGAGATGGGGTTTTGCCATGTTGCCCTGGCTGGTCTCAAACTCCTGGGCTCAAGTGATCCACCCACCTTGACTTCCCAAAGTGCTGAGCCACTGCACCCAGCCTTATTAAAGGGTTTAAACCGGGGAATGATGTGATCAGATTTTGTTTGGAAAGACCACTCTGGCTGCAGTACAGAGAAGAGGTGCGAATCAGCAGAAACAGGTGAGGGGGGATGGGTCAGGAGGCTACTACAGGAGCACAGGTGAGAGATGGTGGTGGTGGCAGAAAAGGGGAGGAGCAGACAGGGTCTGGAGAGAACTTGCAGGTAATATCTGCAGGCCTTGGTAATGGACTGGATATGGGAGGAGAGGGGACACCAGGTATAAAGGATAAGAGTCTCGAGTTTATAACTTGCAGAGGCAGTGGTGACCATTTATTGAGATTAAGAAAAGGGGCCGGGTGCAGTGGCTCATGCCTGTAATCCTAGCACTTTTGGAGGCTGAGGCAGGTGGATCACCTGAGCTCAGGACCAGCCTGGCCAACATGGTAAAACCCAGTCTCTACCAAAAATACAAAAATTAGCCTGGCGTGGTAGTGGGCACCTGTAGCCCCAGCTACTCAAGAGGCTGAGGGAGGAGAATCTCTTGAACCTGGGAGGCAGAGGTTGCAGTGAGTGGAGATCACGCTACTACACTCCAGCCTGGGTGACGGAGCGAGACTCCATCGAGGGGAGGGGAGGGGAGGGGAGGGGAGGGGAGGGGAGGGGAGGGGAGAAGAGAAAACGAGATTCTCATGTCCAACCTTTAGGCTGACTACAAGCAGTACAGTGAACAGGGTAAGAACTTGGGCTCTTGGAATCAGCCTGAGGTCCAAGGTAGACTCTGCCTCTTGCCCACTGGGTAACCCTGGGTAAATTATTCAACTTCCTCATGCTTTTGTTTCCTCATACTTAAAATGGGACTATGGGTAAAAGTAGCATTTACCTTATAAGGCCACGTGAAGATGAAATGACACATACACTGCTTAGAGCACAGCCTGGCATTTGTAAGGCTCAAAAGATGTCAGCTGATGTTACTGAAGGAGCAGTCACTTGAGCAACCTAGGGAGGTTGGCTGAAACAGCATTCTGGAAACTTTAAGACTCTTCTTCCTCCCTCCCCATCACAAATTTATAGGGAACTAAATACAAAACACAAGTAAGCCTGAGCCCACC